AGTCATCAGGATGGTACTGAAACCCAAAGTTTAGTTTCTGAGTGTCACCTATAACAGAATCTTTTTCCATGTGGGTGAGACTGTTCACCCAGTGCCTTATATTTTTAGGAGCTGTTAGGGAAAGGAGTTTCTCTCTCATCCCTCCACATTCTTATAACATGGCAGTGGGAGCTATGTGGCCATCTTCTCACACAGTGATTCTCTGCCTCATGCTGTACTCCCCATTGCCCAGAATCCAAAGATACCAATCTTCATGCATTAGCAGGATATTCACAATGAGGCAAAAAGAAGATATTGGGAAGCAAAGGCAAAATCGAATGGTAAAAAGAGCCAAGTGAAATCAACGCCAGAATCCCTTAGTTCTGTCAGTTTAACCTCAGGCTCCTGAGCCCCTTTTTACTTATCCATTTTTTAAAGCAACCTTATGGGAAATTGCTATTCTCCCTTTCTGTGTGTTTGAGCCACGTGGGTGCTGTCGGGACCTTCACGGTCCATCTTAGAAGACCTGGTATCTCTATACTTAGGATCACAAACATCCTCCACCAAGACATTTATTTTCCACAGTCAAGTACTGATGGTTCTCCGGATTAATTGTGCTATAAGTAAAATCATATTCCCTTTGTGCAAAGCCATGCTTAGTGCATTTCTTAGATTATAACATGAATTCATTCCCATTTGACATTGATGTGGAATACCATGCTTATCTTATTTTTGGTACTATCCAATGACCTGATAAGGTTTTATTAGTTATTACCAATAATTCAAATAAATTAGTATAACCATTTTAAAGTTTAAAAATAAGTGAAGAGATAGAAAAGATATGCTAAATTTTCAATTTCTGGCTTCTAATACTTGATATTTTTGGGTTTTAGAACCTTACTTAGGCCAACATTAACACTTTTTATTTTTATATCCTATCAGTTAGAATGGTTTGTATTTAATTTTTGAAAAAAAATGGCGTTTCTTTTAGAGGATTATTTAAAGAATAGAGTATCAAAGGCTTTCGTGCTAGTTGGGCATTCCTTCCTTTCCTCTGAAAGTTACTTACAGCCTTCATCTTAGAGAACAATACATGAAGCCTGGTCATTCAAAGAAATGACATTTTCGTGTTTAGAACTATAAGCCAGTCCCTTTTTGAATTCATTGTAATTTTTAAGTTTTTAACCAGTGAACTTAAAAAGTATTTAAAATTGGTTAGAATATTAAGGCACTACTTTTTATACTAAGTTTTCCTTAAATTAGTTCACAGTAAATAACCTCTCTGACCTGTGTTATTTATATTTTAATTCTATTAATATTTCTTTAATGGAAGAAAAGTTTGTGCTTATTAAGGTTTGGGGGTCTTTTTCATTATATGTGCAAGTGAATCCCCAGACCCAGCCCTGAGTGTTTTAATAGCGGTGTCATCTCTGATCCAAACTTTTGCCTGAGATTTGCATTGTAAGTCAGTGCTCTGTGTTAATAAACCAAGAAACAATTAAGTATTTTGTCATATAACCAAAAGACCTAAAACAAACAAATAAAAACCTCCAAGTTTATCTTTAAAGTATGAAGTTAACATATTTTGTATAAATTTTAGATAATTTTGGATTTGAAAATTCGTGTAGAGCAGGGAATAGTTTTCTGTTTTTATGACAATGGAAGGCTTTTTAGAGTGTTGGCACGTGACACTTGAAAGTGGCATCTCTATATGCACAGTTTCTTTCAGAAGATGTTTTGTAGCTTTTGAATTTGAGCAAAGGAGGGCAAGTTGTGCTCTAAGGCTAGATGAATTGCTTTTCTCCTTGACGCTGTATTGAAAATTACCCCACCACTTATAAATAAGTAAAATTCTTTACTTTAAACATAGGAGAATATGATTTATAATGAACCACCCAAAAGGATATAACTATGTCTGGGTATGTCCTAAATATTTCATTACAGGTGCGGTCCACTCATTGACCTTTGTAAAGGCCCCCATGTGAGACACACTGGAAAAATTAAAACCATAAAAATTTTCAAGGTAAGGATTGATTTTTTTAAAAAAATAGGAAACTTAAGGTGAATTAGATAGGAAGGAATTTCAGTCCTATCTTTTGTAGTCTGAACATCATGATATTTTAAAATATTTTATTCCTATTTGACTAGAACTAACACAATTATTTAGAATTTTGATAATTAGAACACTATGTTATAGATAGCTTTTGTTTGTCACTTAATCTTATTGTAAGTATTAAAATTTATTTCTTTTTCATGTGATATTGTAAAATACTGTTCGGCATACTGTAGTTTTCTTGAATTGCTCTAATGTGAGCAAGAATATTTATCTGCACATGAGAATAATGTAATATGGGTAAAAGAAAAAAATAAAAGCGGCTGTGGTGGTATAATGGAGAAAACATTGCTCTGGGAGTCAAGGGGCACGGGACTGACTTGGCAGCCCCAACCTTTCTGGGCCTTGGTTTTCTCACGGGTAAAACATGAGGCTGGAGGACAGCACTGTTCTTAACCGTTGACCAGAGATCAGCAAGTCAGATCTTTACCTCCCTGTACTTCCTGCCTCTCTGCCCCGTCCTGGGTGATGTAACAGCTATCTAGCCTTCCCTCCTTTCCACTCACTCCCTCTTCATTGCTAGAATCCACAGCAGACTCTTTACGTAATTTACTGATTATTGGTATAATTTGGGCTGGGGAGGTTTAGGTAGAATCAATTTAAGATTGTTCCCAGCACTGCAAAAAGTCTTCTTTAAGTAAGCTAGTTGATGTTACAGTGGAAAATCGTGTACATATTTAAGAGCAGTTTTACTTATAACCAAATGTTTGGCATGTTTACCAGAATCTTGTTTGATATTTAGAACTCCTCAACATATTGGGAGGGCAATCCTGAAATGGAAACATTGCAGAGGATCTATGGGATATCCTTTCCTGATAACAAGATGATGAGAACCTGGGAAAAGTTCCAAGAGGAAGCCAAGAACCGAGATCACAGGAAAATCGGGAAGGTATCCCCCATGTCTTAATCGCTACAGAGATAGAAACATTCCTTTGTTGGCTTATGATTATGTCTTGTAAAACTGAATTGTTTCAAAACTAATATTTCTTCTTCTTCTCTTCTCCTATCTTCTATTTTGTCGGCACTCATAGCCTGCTGTTGAGTTGTGCTAATAATACCCCAAGTATTTTCTAACCTCTTTCTTTCCCATATCTTTAGTAGATTTTAAAAATTGCACTCTTCTCTTATTTTTATCATGATATAAAAATAAAGTGTTTTTTTTTTTTTTTACATTGTGTACACTTAATAGCATACTTTCTATTTGGGAGGCAGAGCAGTGTGTAGAAAGAAAATTTGAATGCAGCTAGATTTGTTTTAATCTCAGTCCTGCCACTTAGTAGCTGTGTTAGATATTGGGCAAGTTACTCACTTGTGAAACTCCATGAAACCCTTGCTGGGTAGCCTTGCAGGGTTGATGTGGTGCCCAGCACAGGGCAGACTCTCAGTAAGTGACAGTCATGAAATATCATCATCACTTAAAGCCCACCTTCTGCAATGAACTTTTCTGATCTTTTTACCATGTTGTCTGTCCTTGAGATCCATACTCCAACTGTGTCAAGTAAGAAAATTAGCAGTAAATAACAAAAAGTGACATAAAAACGAAGTTCAAGCTAAGTAACCATAATTATGAATTGTCATTTTACATGTGCTGTTATATATAGTGAGGTATAAGTGTTGAGGGGCTTTGTAATGTCTATTATTAGAAGATGGAAATGACTGGGTATGATAGGTTTTATTCCTAGCATGTCATGTATGTGCTGTAAATATTAAGCAACAACAAATGAAATTTGAAATGCAATTATTGTTTTAATCTAGGAGCAAGAGCTTTTCTTTTTCCATGATCTTAGTCCTGGAAGCTGTTTTTTTCTTCCCAGAGGAGCCTTCATTTATAACACACTTATGGATTTCATACGAGTAAGTTAATTTTTAGAATATTTTATTCTCATTCAACTCCATTTCACATTTTACTCCTTTCTCTCATAATAAAATGGTCAAGAATTTTCATTAATTTCATTTTAGTCATAGTAATAAGAATTTTGAACCTAAAAGTGAGATACTGGATTGTGCCTTCTAATGAAAAAATAGAGATAATTTTTGTTTTCCCTAAATGTATTCCTGGATTTCATAAAGTACACCTATTGTCCATATAAGTTTATAAAACATGTAGAATATTAAGATAAGTGTTGTACCAAGTGTGAAACTCCCTGTGAAAGAGAATAAAAGAGAAAGTGTCTGTTCTGGCACAGAATGCTAACCTACGAAACAGTGCTTCTCAAAATATGGTGCATGGACCACTGGTGCTCCTCTGTTGTCTATAGCATGACTCCCAGGTGATTTTGCAGCTCCAGAGGAAAGAGTGAAAAACCAGTTGTGTAAAACACCTACTTGTAATACAAGTTCATTGGAAATTGGAAATTTAGTATTTACATGGTTAAGACTATGTAGATATCGTTTGGAGGTGATCTGTGTGGACGGCTAGGATTACATTTTCATTCTTGCCCTGTTTTGTCTCTGCTATAATTATTAATAATAATTACCTAAAATTTTCATTTACTCAGTTTTCTATGTGCCTATCGCTAATTCATCCTTAGAGTTCTCTCAAAAACTGCAAAACTCCTTGCAGCATGTTCTGCAATGATTCAGTAATTGCTTGTAATTTTTTTTAAACTTGGTCCTCTTGCTCCAGAGTTTACTCATTGCTAAGATTCTTGCAAACTGATGCCTTAGGACTTCTTTTCATCATTATCTGGGATATTCCCCTCATGTCTTTCCTATGCTGAATCCCCTCTTTCCTGGTCCTTGTCTTCTTCCTTGTTTATCCATAACTTGCATTTGGGGATCATTTTCTTCAGCAACTTTCTGAGAAAAGGGTACATGGTATATGCTAGTTATTCTCTGTTTGCCTCACAAGTCTTGTTCTCCTTCCTTCTCTTTCTCTGATGTGGCCCTGGAGGCTGACTTCATGGACTCTATCACCTTGGCCACATACCTTCTAGTAGGGATTGGCCAATGCAAGGCAGTGGTAGCAGATCAGAGGGCAGGGAGGTGGGACTTGAAGAATCACTGAAGATTATCAGAGACTTAGGCAGGTGGAGATGACCCTCACAGCTACTGTTTTGTTTATTTTTTTATTTTTTATATATTTTATTTTATTTTAGAGACAGGGTCGTGCTCTGTTGCCCAGGCTGGAGTGCAGTGGCACAATCATGGCTCACTGCAGCCTTGAACTCCTAGTTCAAGTGATCCTCCTGCCTCAGCCTCCTGAGTAGCTGGGACTACAGGTGTGTACCACCACACCTGGCTAATTTTTGTTATTTTTTTGTAGAGATAGGGTCTCACTATGTTGCCCAGGCTGTTCTCAAATTCCTAGCCTCAAGTGATCCTCTCACCTTGGCCTCCCAAATTGGTGGGATTAGAGGCATGAGCCACCATGTTGGCCACAGCTGCTGTTTTGGATGCTGGAAAATCAACACAGCCCTGGTGCCTTGAACTCTCAAGGTTGGGTATAGAATGGGTTGAGAATAAACAGAAAACCTTTATGGTGGCCTTAAAGGGATCTTTTGTTTTTTATAGATGCAAGACAAACAGACATGGCCGATGATCAGGTCAAAGGCCTGATTGTATGGGTTGCAAAATCCTAAAGGCATTTAAATACACAAACCCAGTGATCTCTTATTCTAAGGTAAGGACACTGGTTGGGAAGGCATAGGTTCCTGAGGCTTGGGATGGGAATATTTGACACACAAAGGTGATGCTGAGAACTTTGAATTCCCAGATAGCCTTGTCTGAAGGAATTGGCCTTCACCATGCGTAAAAACATTTTAGAGACTTCAGCTGTTTTTTCTCTTGGTTTTTAGTTAGATGGTTGTATATATTCCTGTATCTAGTAATATTTTATTATGTGACAGATATTGTATATAAAATAAATGTAGAGGCTCTAGATGATGTTATCTCCCACTAGAGCATTCACCCTTTGCTTGTATTGAAGCCTGGTCACTCAATTCAATCAGAGGTTGTGCTAGGTTAGGACTGGCTTCCATTTTAATAAGATTCGATCTACTTTTAATTCATTCCTGTTTCTAGGACATGGCCTTCTTCTGTTTCCAGCTGACAGGCTGGTGGGTCTATGTCTCTTCAGCCCCAAAAGACTAGAGGAAAGTCAGTTCTGCCCGTCCAGGGTTGTTACAGTCCAACATGGTCCTTTGCCTATCGCCCAGTAAAAGCCAATATACTGAGACAGCAGGTGTTGCAGTGGAGAAAGAGTCTTCACAAGGCACCAGGTGAGCAGATGGGAGTAATTTCTCAAATCCATCTCCATAAGAATTTTGGGGCTTAAGTTTTTAAAGGTGTTTTGGTGAACAACAGGCTAGGGAATTGGGTCTCCTGATTGGCTGGGGATGAACTCATAGGGTTGGGAAACAGAAATCATCTTTTCAGCTGGGAAATTTCCTGGGTAGGGGGTCTCAAGGCTTCTTGGATCCATTCCCATGCATGTCTACAGGTCTGGTTGACAT